TGCTGCTTTCAGCATTCTGGAGAGGTCCCTGACTGCAGACTTCTCCACTAACAGTCTGTTAATTCCTAAAACGTTTCCAATTATTACGTGAATTGTTATCCCTATGAAGAACAACACTGACCCTTAAAACTAAAGGATACTCATTTATCATTTTCTTCCAGGCCTTGAGGGAGATTTGAAGAACTTTTTTCTAGTTTGAGGCTGGCTTGCATTTCCAAAATCATCATCATCCTATGAGGATGACAGCATGGAAAGAAGTGGGTGCATGAGATTGGGTTTATTGTGAACCTAAAGGAATGTATTGAGTACATACAAAGCACATGCCTGAAACTTACAGAGACCCGATACACAATAGCTCTGAACCCTGCCCTATCCTGAGCCAATCTCAGGTGACCTCCGGCACACCTACCCCAGTTATTGTTGTCAATCCATCTCATCCAAGGTTTTCCTCCTCCCTCCACCCTTCCAAACATGATGTCCTTCTCTAAGTATTGGTTCCTCCTGGCAACATGCTCAAAGTTGCGTGAGAGGAAGCTTCAAAATCCTTTCCTCCAAGGGCAACTTGGTTTCACTCTCTCCCTCCAGGACAGACCTGTTTGTTCTGCTGACAGTCCATGCTATGTTCAATAGTCTTCTCCAGCACAACTCAAAGGCATCGACTCTTCTGTCATCCTTAGTCTTTGTCCAGCTCTCTAATATCTAAGTGATGTTTTCCTCACTGCTTGAGATAGGTATTATTATCCCTAACAGGTGGGGGAAATGAGCTTTAGAGAGTCCGAGTGACACGCCTGAGAGCACACTGCTAACTCGCAAGGCAGAGCCTGGCCGATTCCTGACGCCAGCAACCTCTTCCTCCACCGCGATCTGCTAGATCATCAACTGCACAAATCTCAACTTGTTCCCGAGCTGTTCCCGGGGGCCTCAGCTTCAGGCTGGGCAGAGGCACTTACCCAGCCGGACGTACTCCGGGAAGGGCTCCTTAAAATGCAGCTCATAGGGCAAAACGGCGAGTCGCCTGCGCGTGGCCTTGTCCCTAATCTCGTTGACCACCTCCCGGATGGTGTAGATGTTCTTTCCAATATCCTGCGGAGGGATCAGGCCAGATTTACCTTCTCGAACCACGTAACCCCCTGGCCTGCCTTAACGTCTGACCCCCAGCCATGGAGCACGCCCTCTCCCTGGAGTTCCCGGTACCTGGAGAGCCGCGTCCCGCAGGAAAGCGCCGGAATCCGCCACAACGTGCTCCACGGGCGCCATCTTGCTTGACCGAGCACGGACTACGCACGCGCACGGTGTTTAACCTCGCCCCCTGCTTCCCAGACCAGCCCTTTGGGAACCGGAAAAGCAGTCGCGATCAGCTGCGCCACCTGGCGGTCCGGCTGCACCTGGCGGACCGGGGGCCACCTGAGAGCATGCGCGCCTCCGCCTCTGTTAGGGAGATTTGGGCGGGGCTGAACTTTGATGTCTAGGAGAGAAATTTCAGCTCCTTCAGAAGACTGGACAAGATCAAACATCTGAACACATGGCAATTCCAATGTGTCTCATTAAGTTTGCTTCATAGGCGTTTTCAAAGGCTATGACCTTTTGGAAAGGGCTCATCAAATCCTCTGAAGTGCTTTTTGGTGGATAAGAATCACAAAACGTTGGGACTAATGGTTGAGCAGTCCATTGGTTATTCAATACTTCTGCCAATACCACACACTTGAAAATCTTATGAATGACATCTGATTCATAGTGCCCAGTAAAACAGAGAAGAACTCATCTACAGGGTTTTGAAAATTGTAAATCTTTATGGAAACAGACCACCACATGGTGGATTCCAGCTGCTGACTTTTGGGCTGGTAGCTAAATGCTTAACCCACTATACTATTAAGACTTCTTGTTAGAAAAGAACCTAATTATCACAATATCCCTATGAGAAAGATACTGTTTTACAGACAATGGCTTAAGGCTTCTAGACCAAGCTGATACAGTTAATAAATCAACCAAACTCATTGGCATGGAGTCAGAACTGACTCAGAGCTGATCCTCCTTTGGAATGCTATGCCTTTGGACTGGCAGCAAAACTTCTTACCTACTCGGCACAAAAGCTCCATGGTTAAGGAGCAGTGGAACCAAATTTCTTACTAAAAGTACACTCAAAATAACTTTTTTAAAATCATTACATCATTGTTGCTTTTGCATCCCCATTTCTTTTTCTTTTTTAATTTTATTATTTTTGTGTGAGTGTACCGTCAAATCAGATCTGACTGGTACAGGAGGAGACTGTCCCTCCTTCCCCAGCAGGGCATCTGGTGGATTCGAACCGTGCACCTCTGGGATTGTAGTTGCAGCTCCTTGCCACTAGGCCACCAGAGCTCCCCCCCCTTTTTTAAAAAAACCTTTTCTTCAGGGGTAAGTACAAATACAGTCCCCCACTACCATAAATTATGAAGATGAGCATCTCATATTTGGGGAAATAACAGGGGTCAGTAATCTAAAGTACAGCGGATAAGCCTCACACTGGGAAAACCACCTTAGTGATTATGTTATCTTGCCTGCCAGCTAAGTATTCCATTTCAATTTAAGTTCTTTCTTGGAGGTCTGGTGACCTGGTGGTGAGGAGTTGCAATGCTAACCCAAAGGCATACACATCGAATTCACTAGCTGCTCTGTGGAAGAAAGATGGACAATCACTTCCCATGCACTTTTTAGATGGCAATAATCAACTGGAGGGTCAGCTATGATTTAGTTCTGATTCAGTAACCCACAATAACAGTAACAATATGCTAAAAGAAAAAGGTTCAATGTTTATCTGAAATTGGGCTTTGAATTGGTGACCTGTATAGTGTCTGTTCATACATCATTAATATTGACTATATGCATATATGGCTGTGGTCTCAACTCCTCAAAAGCCTATCAAATTGAAAATGAGAGGCACATAAAATGTCCTGCAGTAATAAACAAGCACTACTTTGCTTTTGCATAATATTTATTATTTTTTTTAATTGTTAAAAATTTTCTTCCCCCTATGCCCTCATCATGTCCTTCTCCAAGGAATAGCCCCTCCTAGTATGAAGAATGTGAGGTGAACCTTCATCATCCTGCTTCCAAAGAGCACTCTGCCTGCACCCTCTCCAAGACATGTTTTTTCTTTTGACAGTCCACTTGATGTTCAGTGCCTGGAAAGATGGAGGATGAGCAAAAAGGAAGACCCTCAGACAGGTGGATTGACACTGTGACTGCTTCAATAGGCTCTAGAGTGTCAGGAAGTGTGGGGATGGGACCGCATAGGACGGAGTTCATATTGACTCAATGGTTCCTAAGAACAACACAACATCCGCTCCCCCAATCCACTCCATAATGTACCCCTTGTTCCAGATTGTTGTCAAGCACTACTTTTTAATGAGCCACAAAACATTATTATTGTGTTACTATATTATTGTTAGTGTTCCTGTATCTAGAAATGTTACATTAACATTTTATATCTAGAAAGTATACATACTGCATACTATATACTAACAGAAACATTTGACTTCTCACTCATACATTGCTGTCCAACTGGAATGGACTCATAGCTGATCCTCCAGCAGTTTTTCAGAGGTTGTAAATCACACAAGAGGTTACTCATCTTTCTCCTGTAGAGTAGATGGTGGGTTTAACCTGCAGAGTAGCTGGTGGATCCAAATTGCCTACCTTCGAGTTGGCTGCACAACTCCTTACCAATAGAGCTCCCATTTGATTGATAATTACAACATTGACTTACCTACAAAATCCACTTAAAAGACAAATTTAGGAACAGACCTCATTTGTAATACATCTGTTTACAATATGGTTTTTGGACAATGCCCAAATCATATAAGTTTTAACTTCACATAAACATATCGTCAATCAAAGTCGTATTGTAAATTGCCTCATATGCACGTGAAAGCTGGACAATGAAGTAGTAGGAATATGGAAGAAAAACTGATGTCTTTGAACTATTGTACTGGAAAAGAATATTAAATATACCAAGGACTTCCAGAAGAATGAACAAATCTATTTTGGAAGCACAGTCAAGAATGCTTTTTAGGTGTTGAGGGAAGTGTGTCTTTTGTCTCAAGTATTCTGAACATGTAAGCCAGTCTGCGGAGAAGGACATCATACTGTCAGAGGAGAAAGACTGAACACAAGAGGTTCTTTCCGTAGTCAGTCGGCAATAAGACAACGGATTGCAATATCCATAAGCACTTTATTACACAGATCTGGGAGACAGCGAGTCACCTCCAAGACTGCCTCCTCATCTGGTAGTAGTCATGGGCTTTTATAGGAGGGTGAGACACCAACTTACTTTTGTTAGTAATAATAAAACTTTTGTTAGTAAAATAAAAGAATTTATCTGAAAGAAAATCATTCACACCCAGATACTCCCTTTCCAGGCAAACAGGCAGACTGTTACAATTTACATATGATTGGGGGAAACAGCTTCAAAGAGGTAACAGCTAATCTAGGAAATGCATCTCCTCTTCTGATAAACAGATCAAAGAAAGAACACTAAGAACTCCAAGGTCAAGCAACCACTCCCGCAGGCTAGAGAAAACTATAGTTTTATAATTGATACCTATATAGGGAATGCTGAACTTATTAATAGCACCCTATCAAGACGACCATCAACGAAATGGAGTAACACAATGACTAGAAGAAGCCTGGGCAGTGTTTCCTTCTGAGTCAGAACCGACTGTGTAACACTTAACCGCGGCAACAACAGACACTGACATTAAGCAACACATGAATGTTTTTAATCTGACCACTGTACTTTGGAAGTCACTGTTTACCTTCATTGATTTGTCTCCGTCACCTGTACAATGGGGCTAACGACGGGCACTGCCTTCACAGGTTTGAAGCTTCACTGGATGAGCTCCCGTACCCGCCTGCCCGCGGCAAACCCTCCCATGTGAACGATGTAAACACTAAAAAAGCCTAACTCAGGCCAAAAACTGAGCGCGGGTCCCAGCGGCCCACACCTGCGCGCCCTGGCCAGCCTCTTCCGGGTCAGGTGACCGCGCGCTCTCACGTGACCCTGCCCGAGTGCGGGCGGTGGAAGGCGGAAGTGGGAGAGGAGTTGGAAGCCGCTCCTGTGGCCGCGGCAGGTAGCGAACGCGGGTTCGGGGCGCCGCGGC